CCCAGCAGTAGAACCAACTCCATCACTCCTTCGTAAATGACAACTTCTTTTATTGTGACCTTTAACATGGCAAAGACTACATGTCATAGTTAGTCCTGTTTTAGATAATTTACCACACACCTTCTTTTCACCAACCACTTTCCTTCTCAACTTTCTAGGTCTGCCTGGCATTTGTTTTATCACTGGTGGATCAACAAGAGGATTTTTTGATTCTGGCCACATTGACATGTTATTCATAGGTTGTATGAAGTGTGAGTAAGTCATCAAGTACCTCTCTTTAGAGTAGCATGGATGAATGAAATCATGTGGGTCATATTGTTTATGCAACATTGCAGCTAAGGCATGTGCACATGGTATACCCTTCAACATCCAAGATCTACAACTGCACTCCCTCTTTCTCAAACATACAGTGTGTTGTTTGTATCCATCCAAAACCTCATAGCCAGTTACTCCATTAAACTCAATGTTACATGCCATTGACTTATCAATATTTTGTTCTAGTACTTTCATTGCCATTGGAGAGAAATTGCTTATCCAAGAGTTTGGAAATTCACTTAACCTAGCTAACCTATTCATGACCTTAATTCTTATCTCTTCAAGCATAGAAATAATGGTTTTATGCCTTGCAGACAAAATCCAAGCATTAAAGCTTTCACACATATTATTATCTATAGCATCAGACTTGACTTCACAATTAAAATACACCTTACACCAATATTCTTTATCATAGTAAATTAGGTCATCCACTATACCTGTACCTCCAGTACCTAATTTAGACAACTCCTGCAGATTTTCTCTGAATTCAGCTTCAAAAGTACTTCTAGCACACTTCCAGAACTGATTCTTCCTTTGCAGCCCTCTCCAATTCTTTGACCAATTTGCTAGTATATGCCTAGCACACCTTCTTTCCTCACAAGCTGGCAACAACTCCTTTATAGCTATATCCAGTCCCTAACAGTTACAACAAACATTAGATAATTAAGTTTAAAAAAGGGATAAACCAACAAATAATTTAAAACAAGTTTACCTTTTGCATGTCTGACATAATTGTGAAACTTGTTCCATCTCCTAATCTCAAGTCTTCTTTCAACAGAGAAATAAACCAACTCCAAGTGATTGTATTCTCATTTTCAACTACAGCCCAAGCAAGTGGAAGCATTTGATTATTGCCATCTTTAGCCACTGCAATAAGTAATTGACCCCTGCAAACCCCCTTCAAGAAACAACCATCCAGACCAATGCATTTTCTAGCTGACATAAATGCCATCTTGAGTGCAGCAAAACAAATGTAAAATGCCTCAAATACTGGCCTACCAGATTCATTAGCTTCTCCTAGCTTCACCACACAAGTACTCCCAGGATTAGTCCTCAGCAACTCATCCTTATAATCAAGAATTCTCCCAAATTCCTTAACATAATCACCCATAAGTTCATTCAAAATTTTAGCTCTTGCTCTTCTAGTTGTGGTCTTACCAACATGCACATTATACTTCTTACGGATTAACTCTTGCAGCTTGAACACTCTGATATTTGGTTGTTCAATAACTTTCTTTTTAAAAACAGTAGCAATGAATCTAGAGTTGCACAAATAATTCCTAGTAGCCTTTTGACATGAATGGACTGGAATGTAAGTCTTAATAACAAAGTTATTAGTCTTCTTGTCCAAACTTGCATATAACAACCATTTGCAATTTACCTTGCAACATCTCACCCTTACTCTATTTGGCTCATTCACACACTTTTCAATCTGAATCCCTCTCTGAATTGCATACTTAGTGACTGCCAATCTAAACTCTTTTACACTTTCAAAAACCATACCCAATTGCCACACAATCTTCTTAATATTGGGATCAAATCTGACTCTCTCAGTGGTATGTTTTTTCCTTTTTGTGTTAGGTAGTTTCAACTTCATTTTTTCACCTTCTTGTAGACAACTATCATCTGTGTCAGTTTCAAAACTACAAGCATCAGAACTTGCATAATATGGCTCATCACCCCCCAACCTTCCTTCTAAAGTACAGCTATTGATAGCTGTCTCATCAAACCCAAGATCTGACCCAGCATTACCACATGCTACTTCTTCAGTATCTGCAGGAATTTTTTCCCTTCTTTTTTTCCTCCTCAGAAAAGATCTTTTCTCAGCCCTCAGTTGAATTAACTCCTCATGAACATCACTTCCATATTGATCATCTTCAAGTATTTCACTATCTTCAGAATCATCACTCTCTTCAGTTGACTCATCAGATTCTTTTACAGAGTATTCACTATCTTCAGAATCTGATGGATCACTATTTAGAGCTGTTGGGTTTGAAGTAGAAGGAATATTTGAGGTAGTATTTATAGTTATATCTACCCCATTATAAGCAGCCTCACCTTGATTATATCCACTATCCTCAGTGGTCCCAAATTTATTAAAAGTTGCACCAGAATCCTTACCAGGCATGTGGACATATACTTCCAAAACAGAACCACTTTGCAAACAATTGCACATAGCTAAGAGAATATCATCATTGTCAATATCTCCTAAAATGCAACTATTAGGTGGTCGGACACTAAATTTACAATTTGAACTATACCCTAGTTCTTTAATATAGTCCTTAATCTCAAAGTATGATATTGTATCCACATCAATATCATAATATTCACTCACTAACCCACCCACATATCTTGCTTTATCACCTTCATACAACAAGGCCCCACCATGATAAAACTTTAAAGTAATGAATGTAAATCCACTCATACCTATATGCATAAACATAACAATAATTAAGTAAAAGTTGCTAATAGAATATAATAATTGACTAAGAAAACACATACCCAAATAGTTATAAAAACAATTCAAGTTGAAGAAAACACATACCCAGCCCCACACATACAGAACACAATACCCCACATAAATAACACAATACACGACATATCTTTATCTTCTTACAATTAGGTATGTAACCCCACACAGACACAACACAACATCCAACATATATTTTCTTCTTAGGATAATGTTATTTAACTTTAACCCCACACCCACACAGACACAACACAATACCCAACATGAAGTTACTTTATTGTAACCCAGAATATAAGACAACACAGAAAAACACCCAACTCGTCTTTATCTTCTTGCATGTTTCATATTATAACAACATAACTCACACAAATATAATACCACCCAACCAACCTACACCCAAAACACGTTTCATATAAATGTATGAATGACAAGTTACATACACCCATAACAACAAAGGTGACAGTATGAATATATGAATAACATCAACCCTAAAAATAAGAAATTTGATATCTAACAGAACCGCAACATAAACCCTAAAAGTTATATTTCACTCAAAATTGAAACATTTCATAACCCCTACAAAATCTAAGCATAACCACTACAAAATCTAAGCATAACAACAAAAAACAAAATAAATGAAGAAAAAACTAACCTTTGAACTCAACTCAGTCACGATTCTTGCTGAATGAAATCGACCCACGTCCCACAATGTCACGATTGAAATCGATCCACACACTGCAACCAAAAATTAACTCCCAAAATCCAACAACGAAAATCAAATTTTGACTGAAAATCCAATTTCTTAGCTTTGAAATCACACATGCAAACACTTTCCCTCTATCTTCATCTTCTTTTTAGGTAAAATGAATTTGGGAAAGAGTAAATGCCAGACTAGGGAAGTGTAAAGTCACTTTATCGAAAAGTGAAAAGTGGGTCCCGCGCGTGTTTAACAAACAAATGGACCTTGCAGATTATTTTTGCCACGTAGGCACGCAAGGGGTAGTATATTACTTAAAAAACAAGTTGGAGGGGGTAATAGGACCTCATCAAAGATAAGGTGTGTCGTAGGGATTTTGGGTATAGACTGGGGGGGTAATTGGGTATTATCCCTTAAGGTTACTTTATTTATTTGTGAATTTTGACGTAAATTTTATATTTTAATTAATAAATTACTCATTTTTGAGATTTTTTGAAAAAATAAAAATTATTTTTTTGTAGAATTAAAGGTTAGTATATTTATTTATGAACTTTTGGCGTTAATTTTATATTTGTTTCATACTTTTAATATTTTTTATTAATTAATTATTCATTTTCGAGATTTATCAAAAAAATAAAATTTTAAACAATTATTGAAATTGTTGGATTTAAGGTTATTATATTTATTTGTGAATTTTTGACATTATTTTATATATATATTTTTTCATATTGTTCCTAGTTAATCAATTATCATTTTTCAAAATTTATCAAAAAAATATACATTAAAGAAAATTGTTAAAAAGGGTCAGATAATTTATTAAAAAGGGGAGTTGATTTATGAGTCGAATTAGGTGTTTGTGATTCCGAATTTCTTTTCATTTTCTATCATCAAGTTATAATAACCACAATCATGAATAAGAGTTCATTACAACATAACCAAAGCAAGACAATTACCCATGAACTCTCATTAAGCCAATAAGTGCAATGATCAAACAAAGTCCCATAACCTTAATCAATTAATTAACTCAACAAGACTTATAAATATCATGAGGTAAGGTGAAAATAACTATATGCCATATAAAGAAATGAAAAATGAATTGGAAATGTCTAGCATACTAACTAACGCTCATAAAGATATATTTGTGTCAATAATTAAACGATAAAAATATAAGTGAAACAAATTTTAAATGAGATATATCTAAATTTTTTCAAATAATTTAGAGACATATTTAACTTTTTCTCTAAATATAAAAATAAAAATATATGCGCTTTATCTCAAATAATTGAAGAGGATTTAGCCTTCACAGCTTATTTTATAAAAAAATAATAAAAAATGACTTTTTTTTTTGGCAGAATATGAAAAGCTGAGTGGTGTTATTTGAAGGCGCACACAAGAAGCAACCGCATGCTGTTCCGCCACGTAAGGACGCCTTTAGCGCGCTCTTTGGAGAAGTGGGACCCACAAGCTCCATTTTCAACCGTAACTGAACTCCCACATCTTGGCCCACGAGCGCTCTTTTTCAGTCTCCCCGTACTGTTATTCTCCACCGTTTGGATTTCTCTCTCTTCGCTAGCTGCTTCTGGAGCTTCTACCCTTTCTATTACTTCTCCATAAACTATTACCCTTCAACATCAATCTCATTGGAATTCCATGAGTTTTTCATGTAGTAGCAGTTATTTTCAGTTTCCTTCAACGTTTCAGAGAAGAACACTTCATTGCCGATGGAAGCATCGGAGATTGAAATGGAATCAGCGTCGTCGTCGTCGTCATACAGTTGTCGCTATTATGAATTTAAATCATATGCCATTACATAATCTATTTCAAAACATAGTTTCGCGATTTCCTTCTGTAAATTCACTCGATTTAATTGCTCCAGCTCTAGGTTTTGTATCTGGTTTTGCTCTCTACCTATCTCAATCGCAAACGTCAGTAAAGCTTCTAGAAACTTCTCTTCCGGAACTCGGAGAATGGATCTTATTCACTAGTCCGACGCCGTTTAATCGATTTGTTGTATTACGCTGTCCATCTATATCGTTTCAGGATAGTGAGCTTATGGAGGATGCGAATGAGAGGCTTGTGAAGGAAGATAGGCATTTCCTGAGGCTAGATAGTGGGAGAATTCAGGTGAGGGATTATGAGTGTTGTGATGAGAAGTTGGTGTATCAGAGAGTGTGTTTGAGTACGGAGGATGGAGGAGTTGTGTCGCTGGATTGGCCGGCGAATTTGAACTTGGAAGAGCAATATGGATTGGATTCGACTTTGGTGATTGTTCCGGGAACTACTGAGGGAAGTATGGATAAGAATATTCGAGAATTTGTTGTTGAGAGTTTGAGGAGAGGGTGTTTTCCTGTTGTCATGAATCCTAGAGGTTGTGCGGGTTCACCATTAACAACTGCCAGGTGAGAAATGCAATCTCATTCTACTAGTGAATTTGTTGTACTTGTATTATTCTACATTTGTTTCGTTTAAATGCAGCATAGTATGTATATCCTGTTCTGAACTGAATGCAAAGCTACTACTGTTTGTTCGTGATAATCATAAGAAATTAGTATTGTATTTGGTGCAGATATAAGAATTTGTGTTTTGGTTTCTTTTCCCAGCTAGTCGCTACTATAGTTTTTGTGCTTCAATCTGGTAACTGCAGCATCCTGTTAAGCTTTCTGGCATTCGAACTAACTAGATGCTGTCACACACAGTTTATATTTAAGGATTGCGTGTTATCAAAATAAGGAAGGAGTATTGTAGGTTTTACTTAGCATTCTTCACAGCCTTCCCGTACTTTTGTGTGCAAACCTTACTAGTTCAGAAATGAGATTATCCTTTTTAGTTTATGGAAGAACTCACAGGTTTAATGGAAATTGTGATTTGGCTTGTGATAGTTTAAAAATTATTGCTTCCACTGGTGGCCTTTATCATGTCTCTTGTAATAAGCTAATGGAAGAACAGATGACTACTTTATTGATGTAGGTTATTTACAGCTGCTGACAGCGATGATATCTCCACAGTTGTCCAATTTATCAACAAGAAAAGGCCGTGGTCAACAGTAATGAGTGTGGCCTGGGGTCATGGCGCTAACATGTTGACAAAGTATCTGGCTGAGGTTGGAGAAAAAACACCTCTTACAGCTGCTACGTGCATAAACAATCCTTTTGACCTAGAGGAAGCAACAAGAACCACACCTTATCACATTGATTTAGACCAAAAGCTCACACGGGGCTTAGTAGATATATTGAGATCTAACATGGTAAAGAACTCTGCCCTTACATAAAGCCATCAGTGAGGGATTGACATCTGGAGTTTTTTGTTTGACGCATGCTTAACGACTTTTCAATGTTCAGTTTGTTGTATAATGCAGTGCTCTGAATGTTGTTGCCACCATGTTAAAGAATATCATAAAAGTTTGACTCCTCTTTAACATCTCTAAGATGTGTGCAGGAACTATTTCAAGGTCGTGGAAAAGGCTTTGATGTTGAAAATGCTCTTTTGGCAACATCTGTTAGGGACTTTGAGAAAGCAATATCAATGGTGTCTTATGGTTTTAATGCTATTGAGGATTTCTATGCAAAATCCAGTACAAGGGATGTGGTTGGCAAAGTAAAGATTCCTCTACTTTTTATACAGGTAACATTTTGTCCATTCAGTAAATGGTGAGTTTAAATTTGTCTCTCTAATATTGCATTGAACATTAAAAAGAAATCCTCTTAACTTTGTAAAATAGGGACTCTTTTTGTCCATCCAAACTAATTCCATCAAGTTTTAACAGCGCACCCCTTCCCCTTCCCTTCTTGCCACCTCTTGCTTCTTAGTTGTTGTCATAGATCACCAACATGTTCATTCTTATCAAGATGTGATCTCTGCAGCACCATCAACATTTTTGTCATTAACTAAGCGCACTTCTGCAGATTCAGTGCACATCTTGAAAAATAAAAAGCAGGATTTTTTTCCCCAAATTCTGCTATGCCTTGATTATTCATTCCAATCTATTTCTTGTCCTGAGCCTGAAATTTAAATGATCCTTTAAAACTAATTGCTGTACTTTGGGGGAGAAATACAAGGTTAAGAACAATACGATCTTCTTCTTTCTGCTCAATTAGCTTCGGAGATGATATACCTGATGCCGTTGAGGAATTTTATTACATAGGAAGAAAAGATTGGATTCCGAAGACCAGAAGCTATTCAATTTAAAGCACCTCCTTTGTTCTTATTTTTAGTTAAGGGTCAAAAACAACTCCTATAATAACCCACTTTGTTGAGTTCCATACCTAAACTATTGAGAGTGTGAGTTTCCCACCTGAATTACCACCCAATGGTTAGCAAATCACACCTAGATATTGACTAGAACAAATGTTTGTCTAGAAATGCTTCTAGGCGCATTTGTTCATAAAATCTTCGTTCACCTGGAATATATAAAGACTTTATTTGTTGACACATCAAATTTTTTAAATATATTTTTAGTTGGATTCTTTAAAGCCCTAAATTCTCCCCTTTCAAGTTGGAGATTGTCATGGCAGAGATGAGACCACACCTAAGAAGGTGGAGAATAAGATGGTTGATGCCACGGTTGGAATAAATTAATTTATATGGTGATATTTTTAATCTTTAAACTAATATGAATTTGTTTAGATTTGCCATGGTGGAAGTATCTTCCACGTGGAGTGCCATGTAGCAGAACTTTTAAACAAAAGAGATTGTACACACATCACCAGAAATTAGTCGAGGTGTGTTTTGCTGAGTATTGGATGATAGTTCAAGTAGGAAACTCACATTCTGAATAGTTCAGGTATGAAACTCAAAAAATTGGGGATAGTTTTAAGTGTGTTTTACACTCTTTTAACTCTTTTATTTTATTTGATCAATGTTAAAGCACCTCTGGTTCCCTAGTTACTAAAGATACACACTGGTAGCAACTTTGAAGGTCATAAGGAATAATTTGAGTCGCAGAGTGTGAAAGAACAACAAGGAGATTAAGAAAGAGTAAGAAGGCATTCATGTGTAGAACAGAACCATGTCAGACAGTAATAGTGCAAGTGTAAATTTCTAAGGTAAACCATCTGTGAGTTTTCCAAATAATACAAGAAACCCACTAACAAAAGAACTGGGACTATTCTGGGCATGTTGGTGTTGTAAAATCCCTTAGGATTGAACAAAGAACACTGTTAAATGTTTGGTAGATACACAGTAGATGGAGAGGAGTTTTATTGGGAAAAAAGTTTTTTTAAAAAAAAGGAGGAGAAAAAAGGTGATGGGTGGGGAAAGGGTCCGGTTTATCCTGTTAATACTGAACGGAATCAGCTTGGATGGATTAAAAGTTTCCCTGGTTTGCGAACTAAGAAGAAAGTTTGTGTTCAGAATAATGTTTATAGATGGACAAATTTAACCAACCCATAACTTAAGGGATGATTTTGGTCATTTTTCTTTGTTTTGAATGTCATCCAGTGGCTTGAGAGTAAGTGCAGGAGATGTTGGATGCTGTTCAAAATATGTAATCGGACATCTGTCAAGAATATAGGACATAACATACGACTTACCACAGGGATTTGTTACCCCTATATTCTTTCGATTCTATTCCGTATAGTTAATAAAGCTATGAAGCATTGCATGTTTAAATAATCTTGTACCCCCTGGATATAAAGGGAAAGGGAGGAATATGATGGGATATGGACAATGCCCTGATAAATAATTCTTGGAGGCTGTAATCTCTTGTGGTCATTTCTGGATAATTTAAAGGCCATTTCATTATCTGGTGTCAATAAAAAAAAATAGCGTTGCTTCACTTTTTGAAGAGACCACCTGCAGGCTTGAAATTTGTTAACTGCTGCAATCAGAAAGAGAACAGTTAAATATCTGTGTGCAGAATGTATATTCAAGTTTCAACATGGGTTATTCTATATGCATTGTCCTGAAAATTCATTATAAGTTGGGACCAATCATGAAATTTGTGCTTTCTTTGATATTTCAGAGTGATGAAGGGTCAGCCCCCTTGTTCTCTGTTCCACGCAGTTCAATAGCAGAAAACCCATACACAAGCCTACTTTTGTGCTCTTATTTTCCACATAATGAAACAACAAATAGCAGATCAACTCTATCTTGGTTCCAGCATCTTACAATTGAGGTGACGATCGTAACTGTCATCCGTCATGGTTCAGTTTTGCTCCTCCATACTCCCTATATATGTGATTCCCAAAATTCTTGACTGCAGTGGCTCACAGCTGTGGAGGTTGGACTTTTGAAGGGTCGTCATCCTCTTCTGGAAGATGTTGATGTAAGCATTAATCTGTCCAAGGATGTTACGCTTGTGGGCAGACCATCTGATAGAAGTTTTAGATCAAACAAGCTCTTGAATCTTCCGAACTCAGATGCTTTAGATAGTTGCTCCCTGGATCCGTCACTGAAAATACTTGAAGGAGGAGATATTGAAGAAACGATTTATTCAAGATGTGGAAGAGATTTTAAAGATCTCGGAAGCACTGTACAGCTACAAGAACCCTATATCACCTTAGAAAATGGTAGTGCTGATGATGCAGAACCAAGAGAAGATGAGGCTGGAAGTCCTGTTGATGGTGAAAGAGGCCAAGTGCTACAGACTGCAGAAGTAGTCATGAATATGCTTGATGTGACAATGCCTGACACCCTAACAGAAGAACAGAAGAAGAAGGTACTTCTTATCTGTTGCCTTATGACTTGTGGTAATTTGTTGAAACAATTTGTTTTTATTTTGGAGGTAAACTGAGCCGACTCTACTCATTGGAGAGGCTAGATAACTTTGGTAATACATCTTCAAGACCTGACCTATACTAAACTGTGGCAGGTCCTGACGGCTGTTGGTCAAGGGGAGACAATAATGAAAGCATTGCAAGATGCTGTTCCTGATGATGTTCGTGGAAAGCTTACAACTGCTGTCTCTGGAATTTTGCACAATCAAGGTTCAAATCTCAAATTTGATGGACTACAAAGTGTTGGACATACTCCAAACGTGACATCAAGCTCAATGTCAAATACAGACGGTGGAAGTGAAACTTCTGGCTTATCAAATGCGAAGACGAGGGCTAGCGATTTTTCAGATGAATTTGATAAGAATGACTCTAGCATAGACAAGAGCTCTCAAGAGCTTGTTTCAGAACCTGAGGCAGTGGATAACGTGCAAAAATCTGTAGATACAGGTCAGTCTCAAGCAATGAGTAGCCATGGAAGTGAAGTTCCTGCTTTAGATAACAATGGAAGTGCAGATCTTTCTGTAGAAAGAACTTCCCTAACTTCTGATTGCATAGAAATTGAGTCTAAAGCTGGAGCTAAGGTTGAGAGTTCAAGTGGGTCTGAGGTGGATGGTGATACTGATAAAGTGATTGCTGAGCAATCCAAAGTGCAGCATGATGGTGGGAAATATCAGACGGACTTGAAAGAAGTGATCTCTACCCAACAAAAGGAAGAAAAAATTACTGATATGTGTAGTGATCAGAACAAGTCAACATCTTCCCCCCAGATAGATGAAAAAACATTACTTGCGGCATCGCCTTCTGAGACCAACGCTATGGAAAATGAAGGTTCTGATAATGTCAAAAGAGAAGAAAGAAGTACGCAGACCAATTCAAATCAAATAACTCCCAATGCCATTTCCCAAAGCTTTGATGTTTCTCAAGCACTGGATGCCCTGACTGGAATTGATGATTCAACTCAGTTAGCAGTTAACAGTGTATTTCATGTACTTGAAGATATGATTAATCAGTTGGATGGGGTAAGAAACACAGAAGGTGAAATCCAGAACGGAGACGGTAAAGATGGACTTGAGAAAAGTGGAACCAAGGATGGGGACAATGAGGATGGACTAACGAACAGAGACAAGGTTCTTGATCAAAATACTAGCCGTATGGTTGAAAACCATGATTTAGATGATGTTGAGAAGAGAGAGAGCGAAGTGATTTCAGATTCCCAAGCAAAATATGAAACAGATTTATTTGGTAAAGTTGAAAGTAATACCGTCGATTTTCAAGAAAGTGACAGAGAAAACCACACAGAAGGTGATTTGAAGAGAAAAAATGTTGTCAATGGAGAGGTTCCTCCAGAGGATTCACTTAAGTCTTTGAATTACATTCAAAAAACTGTTCCTGTCTACATGAATACCAATTTCTCTGGAGACCCGCTTTACAAAGAATATCTTCAAAGCTATTTAAGTTCAAAGGCTGTGATAACCAAACCATTAGATTTAGATACCACAACAGCTTTGTTTCTGGACTACTTCCCAGAAGAAGGACAATGGCAACTTTTGGAGCAGACTGGGAGTAATAGTGGCATATCTGATCGTGTTGCAGCTGATGAAAAAAGTCATGTGGAGATGCAGCATGATTCCCCTATGAAAAATAATAATATGGATAATGTTATTGAACCATCTTATGTAATATTTGACCCTGAAAACCAGAATCCTGATGAAGAATGTGTGACTTCAAACAACTCTGATGAGAATGTTGAAGTTGATAATGACACCACACATGGATCTGCCTTATTTTTAAGAAATATTATAGTGGATGCTTTAAAGGTCGAAGTCGGACGGAAAGTAAATGCTGAAGACCTGGAGGAAATGCAGCCCAAACTCTCCAATGAACTGGAACATGTTGCAAATTCTATCTGTGAGACTGTGGGGCATGAAGAGGAGCTTATTTCATTTATCAAGAGTAAGGACCGTACTTCCGGGAAAGTGGGTACACTTCATGCAGAGCATGTTGTACGTGCTATTTCATCAGCAGTTCAGGGAACTAGTTATTTGAGAAGGACATTGCCTGTTGGAGTTATTGTAGGCTGCAGCTTGGCTTCTTTGAGAAAGTTTTTTGATGTATATGCAGAAGAAGTAAATGGCCAAAGCAAAGAGTTGATCCTTGATGAAATAAGTGAACTGGAGAAAGTAGATCCTATCCCAACAGCCAGCAAGAGGATTAATGAAATGCATCCTAATGAACAAGTGTATAGATTGCAGAGTCCAACTTGCCAAGTTGAGGGAGCAGCTGATTCAGAAAATTCAGAGGGAAATGCTGTTATGGTTGGAGCTGTTACGGCAGCCCTCGGAGCATCGGTACTGCTTGTCCCTCAACAGGTAAAATCAACATAAAAAAGTTGGCTGGTTGAGAATTACTTAGAGAGGGTTGTGATAACTGACAACCTTACTAATTATTCAACATTATGAGTTATCACCTGCCTTACATAGTCCATCTAGGCTAGTTCTTGGCATGTTCCAATCTCTCATGCATTTTTCAAAATTGAAAAACTACTTTCCCACCATTTTGCTGTAGAGATTGACCAGAGCTCTCAATTGAATATCTTTCTTTGACAGATGTTTTACCTTCTTTACCCTGTGAAAGAAGTGGGAGGGCATTAACATTAGCCTCTATATGGTGGAGTGAAGTCATGAACTGGGACATGGCTATCATATTTTTGACTTTTGAGAACTGACTTCCATATTTTTAATGGCCTAAAGAGACCGAAGTCTACCTTCACCTTGAGCAGAATGCGTCGAACATTTTGGACAAAATTCAGTGGAATTTTATGTTGTCCTGGATTCTTAGCTGTGTTTTTGGGGGGTATAAGGAGTATTTTCATAAAGGGAAGAGCTAATATTTTATACTGCCCATTATTTCTTAATTCATCTGTGCCATTTTTTCTCCTATACATTCTCTGATAGATCATACGCATTTGCTTAAAGGATGCTGAAACTTTTGAGGGTTATTCAAAAACCTTTGAGGATGAGAAAAATCAAAGCAAAGAAGTGGGCAAGGCTGATGAGGAAACTGTTGATAAAACTAACAACAACATAGTCACAAGCCTTGCTGAGAAAGCCATGTCTGTAGCTGCTCCTGTGGTGCCTATGAAAGAAGATGGTGCAGTGGATCATGAAAGGTGTTATAATTTTCACGACATGCTTTTATTTTTTACTTCATTTTTTTCTCAAAATCCACTCGTTATCCTCTTTTTCTTAAATAGGCTGGTGTCGATATTGGCGGAGTTGGGACAGAAGGGTGGCATTCTGAAAGTGGTCGCAAAAGTTGCATTGCTTTGGGGTGGTATACGAGGTGCTATTAGTCTAACTGACAGGCTCATCTCATTTCTGCGCATAGCTGAACGTCCTTTGTTCCAGAGGTAAGATATTGCATCATTTTATTCTAAAAAGAACAGTGTCTTTTATCTATGTTCTAGGGTGCGGGATGAAAGAATTAACTTACACATATTGATAAAATATTTGTTTTAAAGCAAAATTCATCTCTAAACGCTTTTATTTGGTAGTGTGTCAAATTTTGTGATTAAAGGAAATAATATGAATCTTACTGAAAAAGGAAATAATTTGAATCTTCTACTGCATTAACTAGAGGAATGTTTCTGGATTAAGCAACACTTATTTTCCAAGAATTGCAAGAAATCATATTGTGGCTGTTTGTTTCTTCTTCTTACTCTTCTACATGCTTAGATGCTGAAACTGATATGATTATAGGCAAAATTTGTACCCTTGCTCATAGTTATTGGCATTGGTTGGTGAATTTAGTCTGCACTGAATAGATACCTCCATTTGCATTAATGACTGAATTACTTTAGTGATTACCTTTCATCGCTTCTGTCATATTTTCACCTCTTTCTTTAGTCTGGATGAGAACATGAGTGAAGGAAATTCTAGTCTCTGGAAATCACCCTACTTTAACCTCTTTCTTTAGTCTGGATGAAAACACGAGTGAGGAAACCTCTAGTCCCAGCATTCACATTCAGGGCGATTTGTTATTCTGAAAATTAAGAAACAGCCTTCTGCATCAATAATTGCGCCTTAGTCATAGGAATATGGGGATCTCGGAACAAGTAATTAAGTAGTTTACCTTCCGGACTTCGGCCGTTTCTTAACCGCATATATTCATTTGACCTCCCTAGTGAGAAGCAGCTCTCTAATGATCTTTGTTGTTTGTTTAGAACAAGCAGAGATGCAGCTATTTATTTACAGATCTTCAATATAACAATTGGGATGGTGCAGTTAATCTTGAGATGCCATACTTCAGATCCTGTTGAAAATTGCTTTCAGTTACTGTAGAATACTTAAGCATAATAAGTTGCCTAGGCTTAGTATGAAATTTAAACTTTTGTTAAGTTGTTTTAGTTGTTGAGATATTTTATGATTTTTGAAATTTTAATTATGCAGATTTTTTGTTTAAGTTGGCTATTCAAAGCTCTCATATGCTTAATAATTATTGATAGACATTTTCAACCCTTTTTTTCTGCCCCATTTTTTAAAATTGTTGGGGCCTTCATTCATTCTGCAATTTTAGCTATGTGTCAACATGTTTTTAGACTGAGCTCTCTGTCATTTCACTCAGCTTGACATGCTCTCATACTGATGTTGTTCGACTCTGGAACTTCTACCAGGATTCTTGCATTTGTTTGTATGGTGCTTGTTTTATGGTCACCAGTGTTTGTTCCATTTCTCCCTACACTTGTGCAAAGTTGGACAACAAAGAAGCCATCCAGGACTGCTGAGATTATTTGTATTATTGGCCTCTACATGTCTATTTTCTTACTAGTTACTCTATGGGGCAAAAGGATACGTGGCTATGAGAAACCGCTTGACCAGTATGGACTAGATATGACTTCAATGCATAAGGTAAAAGTTCTCTTTGTTAACAGTCAACTAATGCTTTAAAGTTGAAAAGTAACAACTTCTTGAGGAAGCATCTGCCTTTCCAAGTCTCTCTTTGTTCTGTAATACTGTAATTATGGTTTTGAAGGGTCATCAGACAAGTGAATAAGGCTTCTTCCCTTTCTTCTCTCTAACTTCTTCGTGCTCCTCAGTGGGATCTCATCACTCGATTGAGGTTGAGATAATCTCACACTGTTAAATTCAACACCAATTACTCATTTTCTTGTTTTTTGGAATTTAATGAAACACAACAGTCTAGAAAAGTATCTGGAACAGATATATGCTGTAATGTAATGAAATAATCATACTTTCATGGTTTTTGTTACAAATAGAGATAGGAGACTAAGTTCACATTCTTGCAGTCTAACCATTTCGATTTCCATTTATTACAATGTAACCTACATTAAACTCTTTTTTTCATATTAACCAATGTAATTAGGTATGAATACCTAGGTATAGGCCTTCATATGTTGTTGCAGTACTAAGAAATGTCAGATATGTTGAACGAAAACCTACTTTTCTTTTACTTTCTGCTGTTATCTTACTTATAAGATTTTTTTGTTTCTTCATAACAAAAATGACATTGAGCACAATCCAGCTCATTTGTAACAGTTCTCATCAAATATGGCAAAGAAATCATATGTTTAGCAATAACTTTTCCATCAAGTGATCTTTTTCTTTATTTTGCCCCTTTATTTCGGTTGTAACATGGATTGGAAGAGGGAGAATCTAGTGATGTACCTCATTTTCTGTCTTTATCTTTAATCATGAAACGTAATATGAGTTATGCTAGCATTCTTTAAGAATCAGTTCTGATGTTGGCCATGAATTTTTATGTTTCTCTAAGTAACATATTTAAAGCTTCGAAGGATAGTATTACTATTTTAATTGCATTACTCAGATGCTTCCTGCCTTTCTTGCAGGTACAGATTTTTCTGAAAGGTTTATTTGGAGGAACCATCCTTGTTTTGCTAATATATTCTGTGAACTCCTTAATTGGCTGTGTTGATTTCCGTTTTCCCATGGCTCCTCCAACCTCTTCAGCAGCTTTAACCTGGCTAAAGGTGTATGGTCGGATATTTGTTTTATTTGTTCAAGGAGTTGCAACGGCAACAAGTGTTGCCACTGTTGAGGAGCTTCTTTTCAGGTCATGGTTGCCTGACGAAATTGCTGCTGACCTGGGATATTATCGTGGAATTATAATTTCTGGACTCGCATTTGCTTTGTTTCAAAGGTGCACCCTCATTCTTGATCCAATGCATTTAGGCTTTTGACATGTATCTATGTAGCCTGAGTTTTTAGGTTACTTGTCCTTCAAGCTGCCAATTTTTTTTTTTTTTATTTTCATTACAGCTTTGAATTTCGATCATCTGGGGGAAATTCATCAGTTTCTTCAAGCTGCCTTATTTTTGATCTTTTGAAACTTGAGAAATAATTGAATGATTGAATTAAGGGTATCTTGAGAATCTTTTCCCTGTATTTGTTTAGTTCTACTTAGTGCTCTTTTGTCTTGCATACATGTGCCTCCTGTCTGTTTGATATCTTGAGAATAATTCCTTTTCAATCACGAATGTTCTAGACGCAAGTAAGAAGATTTAGAGAGGATGAAAACTGAACTTCATTGATTGAAAATGAATGTCATCTACCACATTTATACAGACCTTAGTTGCGTGGACTCTCCACTTTTGATGCCGCGACTGTCTTGGATTCTCCAAAAATACACTACTTTTGGCGAATCTGACACGCACCCATTGGCTTTTTTGAAGAGTCCGAGCAACATAGATACATACTATGAAGCTAAAATATTGTTGTAACTAACATAACTAACTTTTGCTAACTAAACCTCTAACTTCTATTAATTACATAGAGATCCTTACTAATTACATGTTGGTCCTAGTTGTCCTATGTAATCCCTTCTTCAATACTGCAATCTTGCCTCTTCAGATGCACCCTCTCAGGCCTGGACCCACCCCAAGATAGCAGATTCCCCTTTACTGTCTTCAATGTCTTGACTTTAGGAATGATTGACTATGAGAAGGATAGAGACTTTCCTAAGAAGGTCTTAAATATAGTCCAGTGCCGTGAAGGCGATAATGTTCTACTATCTGGAGATCTCCGCGGAGATGGATATGGAAACCCTCCGCAGATGGGTGGAGAATATAAGGGGGATCTTTCTCTCCTAAAGCTACCCATTACTCAATTGGGCAATTCCTCGCACATAATTAAGGGAGCCATTGAAAGGTGACTAAAACACCAGAAAGTTTTATCTGTATGATTGATTGCCTTTCTTAATGCTACTACAGTACTACCCTCTTTGTTCTGCTATGCAACTGAATTTCCAGGGAAGTGATTATGTTTCATATTCTAAAATTGCTTTTCAGGTCACTTTGGGCAGTGCCGAGTTTGTGGCTATTGTCACTGGCTCTTGCAGGTGTTCGACAAAGAAGCCAAAGCCTCTTCCTTGCAATTGGGCTGCGTTCAGGGATACTGGCTTGTAGTCATATTTTACAGACTGGTTTCTTTTTGACTTATTTACCAAAATTCCCTCCATGGTTCACGGGGTCTTCTCCAGCTCAACCATTTAGTGGAGTAGTTGGCCTTGCGTTTGCTTTGTCACTGGCAATACTTCTGTACCCTGTGGAGCCTCTTCATAGGAAGAAAATAGCCAGGAAAATCAAGGAATGAAATGTATCTAACTTTGTATTGGCAAAGATTGGTTAACATGTAACCCAAATACAACCTGCTTCTTTAGGGAAGCTGAGATGTTGGTTGCTTTTGCCGGTTGTCTGGTACATACTCCAGGTTGCTTATATTGTAAAGAGCAAGTGAGATAATTGTACTGAAGCAAAAACTGTGGCAGTGGATCTATGTTGCCAGGCAGAAAGCTCTCCTTGAGCAAAGTTGTTTATAAGTGTATAAATGAGGCAAATTTTGTAGCCAAGTGAAAAGTGTAAATGGGAATTTCAAGAAACCTCTTTATTTCCACTTTCTACATGTACATATGAGTAGTTATACTTTTCGACTGCAAGGGATGAAACAGAAATCATTTACCACTGAAGTTGTACAAAACTGGAAGAGCAAGTTGTTCAAGCTCTATAAGTCACTTCCTTTTGCTGAAAATATTTTCTTTCAAATTTTAGATTCAGTGTGTGCTTTGGTATCCTGTAAAATACTTTTATTGGAACACAAGCGATTTTCTCAACATTTAAATGAAGAATTTATGGCCATCTCCATTGGATCATCGTATATGCTCTAAAAAGTTCCGGACTGTAACGAAAGTAAGTGTTCTCTTGATTTCTTCTCCCTGAACCCATCACATGAATTGACAATACTCATTATATATCACTTTTATATCTGTATATTATGTGTACGTATTTATATTTATAACGATGCACTCAATTCATGAATTAATAATTAGCATATGAGTGCATCGTTATAATTCGGTTTGATTTAATCAAATTTCAGTTCGATTCTTTGGTATTTGATTTTAGAAAAATGTTTACCATAGGTTTTACCAAACCTGATTTGGTTCGGTTTAGTTCGACGGTTTTTAAATTAGTTTTTTGGTGTGAAAAAAATAAAGAAGGAATGTGATAAAGTGTTAAGAGTTTCATCATGTATTTAATAAAAAGGCTTAAGTCATCTACAGTCACTTAAAGTTGTTTGCATAATTACTTAAACATCTCAACTAAGATTTGTACCTATTGAACACCTCTATCCACCCTCCCAAATTTGAACCATCTGAACATTTTTTGCTTACATGGTACATTATTGTTTGTGATTCACTGTTATGATCTCACCAGTATTTATAAATTTGCTTCACAAAAAGAAAATAGACAGTAATGTTTGAGAATTTTCAGGATTGATAGAGTTCAAATTGTTCTCGATTACAAGATTAGAAAATTTGAAATTTTTTTCTTTGTTGGTAGTGAAGTGTTTTGGAGTTAAACTGAGGGAGATTTGTGTGAATTTTGTTAAAGGATTTTCCTATTTATTTTTTATTTTGCTCACATTTTTGTAAGGGTGTTCTTCAATCGAAAAATATAATCACCTATGGAACTTGTTATGTGGAATTCGAGATAATACGAGAAAATATAAACGCGAAATACAAGACAACAGATTTACGTGGTTCACCAATAAATTGGCTACGTCCACGGGGAAGAGGGGGAGCAGTTTTATTATGGAGATGCAAGAACAGAATACAGAATAGGGTTTGCCATAGCGTCTATATATAGTGCTAAGCTACGCCCTAACAGGCTTGGGCCCAAAATACAGAATTGACAGATAATTAAGGGCCCAATACAACAACATTGTATACAGTCGGGAGACCCCCGTTCTTTCTGTTGTAACGGGCCCAATTCAAGGCATTGAAAAGAACTCAAAAAGAAATCCGACATAACTCTATTTTTTCCGACAATATTCATTGGAACAGATTAATTTTCTGACGAAGTTCATCTTTTCGTCAAAAATGAAACGAGGAAGACAATTAAATTTTATTTTTATTTTTTTTAACTATGGCCAACTCTTCCGTAACTCATAAAAAATAGCAATAAATCTTAATCAGTTTGCTTGAATTCTATGATGCAGATGAACCAAGATGATTAAAAAATAATAGAATATTTACAGAAGAGGGTTGCCGTTGGGAGTGGGGCACTATATGTTGAATCCATCCCATTTTTTAGTCAACTTTAGCTATTCAATTGCTATAAGCAATTGTTAAAAAGGAATAGTAATTGGAGTTGAAAATAAAAGATTTGGTGGTTGGCAAATTGGTAAGATTTGCAACCATTCTTGACTTTGCTATATTTACATATGTCATGAGTGTACATAGGCATAGTTTTATTCTTCTATAAATAGAGCATTTTTGCTCATTTGTAGAACACACCAAGTTAGAGAGAAAAACCATTTTGAGAGCAAAGTGAGGTATTCCATAGACTATACAAGAAAATAGTCTGTGAAGAAAAATAGAGTGTGAACGATATTTTAGTAAGACGGAAATCAAATGAGTGTTGTTCCTTTTGAGTGTGTAGTAGTCACTTTGAGTATTGTATTCATGACTACACAAAGTAAAATTCCTTACTATAGTAATATCAATTGCTCCTCTTGGTCCGTGGTTTTTTCCCTTATTCAGAAAGGTTTCCACATAAAATTCTTGGTATCGTTATTTTCCCATTTTATTTCCATTACTTTTACCATATATATTTTTGTGCTCGTCTGCGTTTTCCCAACACTATAGAGGGAGAGGAGTTTTGGACTCCACGGAATCGAAGGGTAGGTAAGTTACATGATTTATATAATTTCTTTTTTAATTTTTAACATAAAAATAATTTCTTTTTTCTTTTACTTTATAATATATTTTTTAAAATAATTTTTTTGGACTCTAAAATACCAAATGTCAGTATTTAATTCATCAAATTATCATGTCATCGCGAGTCTATTTCATACACATTATACTTTTAGTTTATTGTCAAAAAATGTTTAAATAATTCAAATTTGGGAGGGTAAAGGTATTCAATTTGTACATGTATTAGTTAAGGTGTCTAAATAAATTTTGCGGACAACTTTGAAGGGTTATAGATGACTTAAGCCTAATAAAAATAAAGAGGGCATAAATGATTTTTTAGCAAAGATGCCAAAGGAGTTGTCTCTGTTTCTTTGCATCGATGGCTGTCATTTTAATTTGCTAAAGCCTAAAGGCTTTCTCTCATACCAGAATGCTGAATGAATAAAGAAGAGAGCAAGTAGCCTAGCAAGCACGATGCCACAATGAACTTTCGAACAATAAAAATATAAGGACTTATAACGTACAATTGTATATGCATAAACAGCAATAGTTCAACACTTTATTGACATTATATTTGTTGTCATTTAACAATTGAAAATTTAAATGAGTCATGTAAATATTTTGAGTCATAATTCAAAAGTGTATAACTATTATTAATTAAGCAATATAATTTAAATATTTTAAAATTTAGTAAATAAAACTTCGATTCTTCGGTGTACCATAGTTTCAAGACCGTTACACTGAACTCCGAACCGAAGAACTGAAGTTCCGAAAAAAGAAAACCAACATTGAACCGAAACACCGAAAAATTAAAATCGAAAAGCCGAAATTTTTCGATTCAGTTAGATTTTTCGATATTTCGATATTTCGATATTTATATCCACCCCTACTTAAAACACTAAATTCAAGTAATATGCACATAACATGCTATTGTTGGTGTTCATGACATTTTAATATTAAATATAAAATATTAAAGTGTATATGTTAGTGAATATGAACTGACGAGAAATTTAGTGTTACTTATATTTAGTGCTTAGCTCAAGTAAAAAACAGGAAAAAAGATAAAATTGCCTTGTATTTTTCATGAGATAGAAAAAATGCATCTAGCCAAGCTCAAAGTGTTTATAACTTTTGATAACGCTAAAAACAAGTTCATGGAAATTTAGGGATATCATGCATGTCAGAAAAACACTCTTTATCCTTTCCAAATGCACTCAATTTGCATTTCAAATATTCAGTTCTGACCCTTTTAGATTTTAGACTTTGTTTTTACGCCTCTAACCTAACATCGACTCCACAATCTGTCTCATTAATCAATACTATATTATTTACAAATAGCATACACCGTAACGTCATATTTTGCATACATCATGTCAATTCATTTATCATCAAAATAAATAAAAAGGGGCTAAGAACTTATCTCTAATACAACTCTATTTTAATTGAGAAGTGTTCTAATTCTCCTCCAATCTTCTAATCTGTCGAGTCAATTGACTCCATTATATGATTAAGGACTTAGTAAAGCGGCAATAAGGACTCAATTTTAGAGTTGGCCACTGATTGGCAATTCCTTTAATTATTAGTAGTATAAAATCATAGGCTAGTGAGTAGTGGCCCATGATGCAACCAATCAATTGAGTATAATTCTCATGTCACCAAAAATTAGGTGCAAAGTCTTCCAGCACATGCATTTTCTCAGTCAATTATTATACAGTAGCATTAATGAAATTTTATTCTTGAAGTTAAATCCATATCAAAATAGAGTTTTGTTTACAAAATACTGTTCTACATAAGAGTAAGTAGGTAAGTGAACGGAGGGATCAATGTTACAATAATACAGTATCAATAGTTGGTCGAAATGTGGACCTAGTTAGTTGTGTTTCGCGGCCTGAGCAGTCGCAGAATGTCTAGGAAGAGGTTGAGGATGTCCAGGTAAAGATGGACGGAAGCCCAGATGTATTCATCATAGCTGAATCTCTTAATCAGCTTGTACGTATCAAACACAATATACGCGCAGAAAACAATAGCACTTACTGCACAGTAAATAGCATTGACTGTAGATCCAAGAGGGAAGAACAACTGCAAATTAAATTATGGGGAAAGTCAGAATTCACATACAAATACGACATGTAAAAGCTGTTTAAAGATTTCAGAAATCAAGATTAAATTGTTTGACTCTCGAAATTCAAATAGCACCTCATAAATTGAAACAGAAAAAGAATTTGGTACTAGCAGACCAACCTGCAAAAATCCAGTCAAGATAAGTACATTGAGGCTAGCAAACAATATTGGACCCAAAAAGCTGAAGTCCTGCCCTCTCTTTGAAGCCCAAAATGTGTAACCAGTAAGAGATAAAACTACAGCTGATGTTAAAATCAAGGCTTCAAGCACAATTTTTCCTATAATTGATGATTCCAATTAGCAAAATTAATTATCCAAACATATAAGTATATATATATAGCTAGAAAAGCTTCAAAATACTCACCATTTATAGTAGCACATGCTATACCAATAGAGATACTCAAGGTTATAGTGTAGATGCCAAGGAAAACAAAATTCAATGGATGCTTTTGTCTATAGAAATACAAAGGCAACAACACTGCACAAAAACAAAATTACTTAATAAAAGGTAACTAATTTCTAGTCAGTTTCAATTTGTTTATCTACTTTTGACTTGATATAAAATTTGACGAAGTAAAAATGTAAAATATACCAAAATTTGTTGGGAATGAAAATCTAGCAAAATAAACCTCGAAAGACCATGAGTAAGAAGACAAACGAGAAACACACCAAAAGAGACAGATTTAACGCGGTTCGGTCAATCAACCTATATCCACAAAGAAGATCAACAATCGACTACAAATATGAGAGTACAAAATATAGAGAGAAACAACCTCAACCATTTACTCGGGATACAATGAGCTACACAAAAGAATCCCAAAACCTTCTTTACAAGAAAATGACTAGTAAAATATTAAAACTTTATCCTAAAAGGAAAATTTATTTATGATTTGAAATCAGAGCAAATAAAATCCAACAATATGTCCTTTTAGTCTATTGAAATTAAACATTATTATATGTAAAGTTAAAATAAAAAAAGTTCAGATAAGGGGATATGGACTTACATAAGAGAGGTAGAATGAGTAGAATGAGGAGAATGGTTTTGCCATGAAGGATGTTGTTAACGGGAAGGTATAGGACAGTTCCAGCAGAGACGATGGTGGTTAGGAGGATCTGAGAGGCGAGGATATAGTAAACTTTGCGAATGAAATCCCAACGAAGATCATTTTCATCATTTCGAATTCCTGGATATAGCAATAATGATGTTGTTGTACTTCCTTCTTCTACATCATTACCTTTAACTCCTGACATTTTTATTTGTTTTTTTCTCTTTCTCTGCCTGGAAGGTGATATATATAAGCTTGTTTGGCAACTTGGAGGCGGCTCTGTACTACTCTTTCTTGCTAACTTCTTTCAATCTCCCAATTCATATTTCAATGTACTTGGCTGGAATTTTGTTATAATATTCATGTACTGCTATTGGCATAAGTATATTTATACCCTTCTAACTTTGTGCAAACAATTTAATTTAATTTTAACTAACATCTATATTCTCCAATTTTGGGTGTGCAGAAGTAGCTAATTGAAAAAATAAATAGACTTATCCTACGTGACATAATGCATATCGGATATCACGTAAGACATTAAATTGCTATGTAGGACGCCACCTTGGACGAATGTGTGTGTTTTTTCAAATTTATACTCCCTCTATCCACTTTTATTTGTCATGTTGCGCTTTTCAAAAGTCAATTTGACTACTTTTTAAATTTAAATTAGATTATGTTAGTTCGATATTTTTTTTAAAAAAAAATTATGTATTCAAAAACTATACGAAACATACTATAAATTGCATTTTTTGCATATCAATATAATGAAAATATTCGTAATGAAAATGTTGGTCAAAGTTCTTATAATTTGACTCTAGAAAATGAAACCATGACAATTAATTGCAAACACAGAGAGTATAAATTTAAGTATTTACTTGTGTACCTTCAAAACTGGATAACATAAATGTCAGTTAAAAGGGTACATTATGACAAAGAAAATTCCCATTATTAGTTGTCCATTTTAATAAAAAAAAAGAGAAATTTATTATTTTGTTCCAATATCATTTTAATTATTAAGTAATTATATAAAGTAATGTTAGTTCAATTTAAATTAGCTAAATATAATTGTATTCAAGATAATTTAGTAAAATAAAGTGTAAAGTAAATTAAGGGCAAAGTAAAATGAGAGAGATTTTCTATATTTTATGTGTTAGTCTCATGCTATTTATAAAGTCTCTTCTTTTACTGGCTGCTTTTATCATTGCAATTTGCAAGTCAAATGAAACAAGTAGGTCCAATAAAAACTAGTATATAAACTAAACTCCAAAATCCAAATATCGTGCCTAGTGGCTTGAGTGAGAATATGATCTGTATCTCAATATTTAGAGAAAAAAAATAATGCCACTTGAGCATATATATATAAAGTAGAAACAAAAAGGATTCAAGATAAACATGTAATATTTCATTTTTATTTGATTTTCTTTGGTCAGTTTAACAATTTAAGGAAGATAAGAAGCCTTTTTTGCAATTTGCAAAAAATATCCAACACTTGATTGGATATTCTTATTTCCTACTTTAACTTTTGAAGAGGGTATAGTGAGACGTAATCAGAAATTTCATGAAGGTTGTTCAAATTTAAGGTAAATTCAAACAAAAAAAAATTAACTCTATAGGAATATAATCTTGCATGCCCTACATACTTTTGAGTCCTATTGCCCCTATAGTAAGGGTAATTATTGGTTCTAAGAAAATGTTCAAAATATTTTTTATATAGTAATATTTAACCTACATATTGTTGTTCATTCTATATTTCTAAAATACTTAGAACAATAACTGTGAAGGACTTGGTAAGAATCAACAAAATTTAAAGAGTGCTTGTAAAATAAGAGGCTTAAAATCGGTGAAGAAAATAGGTCAATAATATACATAATATTTTTTCAAAGAAGAAAATCGAGCCCCACCTGAATGCACAATGTGTCCTTAAGAAAATTATTACCCTCAAGTACCCAAGGTTAATGAAATAATCCTCTTAGGATACAACAATCTTACTCGTTGGTGTATCAACACCGTCATTCCTCGAACCTACACTCTGAACGTGGTCGGACGCCACTCGGAGACAATTTTTGGCCCCATGCGAGCTCTTAGCCTGACTAACTATGACTCACAAAACTCTATAAGATATGCATAAGCTTAAATAAATGAGCATTCAAAACATTTTTTAAAAAGTTTTAAGACATTGTCTTGAAATACCTAACATAATTCATAAGTTTAAATAGAACATGTGAAGAAAACAATGGAAACATCTAACTCTGTCTGTCTATGAAATCTCTATTGTTCAAGATGAGTCGGGACAAGACCCACGACATCTCAAATACTACTTAAACTAAATATGAAAATGGAGTCTCCAAGAAGCAAGACCAATAGTTGTCTACGAGTGCAAGTGATCTCAACAAAATGTTTGTTTGATGATTCTGAACACTTGTATCTGCATTATAAAAAATGTAGGTGGAATAACATCAATTCATAAAATGTACAATAATGCAATATAGCTAAATAAGACAATAACTGAATTGATGATGGGAAACATATCAAGTAAACAATATGTGAACAAGTTGTGATAACTATTACTAAGAGCCTAGCAGTGATACAATGTTTTACTATATTGCAAGGGCACACACTTCCTTTTCTTTATGATGAACCACAAAACCCTTGAGTTGTTCCGTGTAAATTCCTTCCTCTAATTCTCTATTTAAGAAAGTTATTTTTATATTCATTTGATGAAATTGAAGTTCATATACCGTAAGTAACACAATTAACATTAGAGTGGATGTAATCTTAGTTACTTGCAAGTATATGTCGAAACAATCAAGAACTTTTTGTCTAAAGCCTTTGACAATGAGCCTTGCTTTTATATTTGTCAATATTTCCATCAACTTTCATTTTTTTAAGATCTACTTTGAACTCAAAGTTTCATTTCCTGAATGAAGATCAATCAACTTCTAATATGGTTGCTTAAGATTGAATAATTCTAACTATTGACAACCTCTTTCCAAAAGGATTAGTCCGGATAAGACATAACTTGTTTGAATGTATGAGACTCATTTTCAAGAAAAAATGTCACAAAATCATATTCAAATGAAATAGATCACCTTTGACGTATTCTGTTCCTATGAATCTCTTTATGAAGTACATTCCTCTTTGGTTCTTCCAAGGTTGTTTACCCTTTACTAGATAACTCAAGTCTTTTATAATGATAGATGTGTTCAAGGAATTCTACATTAAACGATTCAATTAACATATTATTATATGAATATCCAAATGTTTGGACATATGAACAAAAATTGATATGCTTTACTATCTACGGCATATTCAAGGATGAAGCAGTTCGTAGTCTTATGTCTTATTTTGACCTTTTTAGGAATAGAAACTTGAGCTATGACTAGACACCCCCACAGTTTGAAGTATTTCAAGTTGGATTTTCTTATTTTCAATTTCTCATATGGAATAGACTAAGTCATGAACAAACAACACTTTTTGTTGCCTCCTTTCTAAATAGACAACTTTTTGTTATTCTCTTTTACTCATGTAAAAGGATAGCTTCCCCCTACAAATTTTGTGGTAAACCTGAACTTATAAGCAAAAGGACATTCAACATTTCCTTCAAAGTTGTTTTTCTTTTCGAAAAATCATTAGATTGAGGTGAGTATGAGCAGTAGTTTAATCAGTGATGCCATTTTCCAAACAAATTTCTGCAAAAAAAAAGAGATTTATATGTTCACCTCTATCACTTTTAATCATTTTTTTCAACTAATTAAACTTCTAAATTGATCAGTTTTCACAAAATTTTGTAATTGACATATCCCAAGTGTTTATGTCTCACACAGTTTGACTCAAGCAAATAAGAACAAGCAGAAATACTGAATTTGAAAAGATCCTTCGTGAGGTAAATTTTTCTCATAATTATTTTGTTCTACTTGCTACAATTTCGTAAGATACAAACATTATTGAAAGTCACTACCTTGCCAGATGCCCTTTTTAGAAGAACCACTCCATAATCTTTAATTTGTTTGTTATAGAATTAGCCAAGAACATAGTCTCATCTAGTCAAATATGGTAATATGACCCAAATATATATTTTTTACAACACAAACGATATGACATATGGCTTTCCACACTAATTATTAGGTGAAGTTTCTTATTCTTTAAATCAAATGCACAGTCTAATTTTATCCATAATAGAAAATTACAAATGTTTTTAGTCCCATAAAATCATTCACAATCAAATTTAACACAAAATAGAAAACTATATATTTATATTTAGGCAAATCATATATTTTCCCAAATCAATAAGTGTTGGTTGACTAAAATAAAAAAGAAATATCACTTACAGATACCACCATATGTATCTACATTTCCGTGACGTTGAACGTCAATCAATTTTTGCCTCTCAAAATTGAAAGGGATATACTTCGCAACTCTTTCATGGTCTCCAGGTATTTTAGGTTTTCATCTTGAGCAATAGCTAGTGTCGCCTTTGAATTATTAATCTCCTCGATGTTTGCTCGATGATCCCTTTTTAGCTCAGACTCCCTTTTCTTATAAGAAGTAAGTACTTCTAAGTAAGGACCAAACTGTTTTTAAACTCGACAAATTTTGAGCGTAGTTGGACGACCTCTTGACGGCATGGTTCTGTATCATGCCCCAATGAGGTCAGATCAGCCTCCATATCTGTGAAGCGCTTCTTCAACTAATTAACCTCTATGATAAACTTGATTTTTCAAAGGGTGAAAGTTGTTCCTTCAACTAATCAATTTTAGTCTGCATCTTTTTTTGTCCTCAATCATTTTTCTAAGGTTTTCATAAGTTAGCACATTAGCCTACAAAGAATGGAAGGTCAAAATAAAAAAATAATCTATTTATCTTGGAATATATTAATACAAGGCAAAATAAACCGGTCAACAAAATGTAACAATAGTAGAAGAAAAAAATAGAACGCTCACCAGAGTGGCACTCTAGGTCATTGAATCTAGACTGGAAGGTTAAAATGAAAGTCCTGGTTGTTGAATCTACTAGTCCGGCAAGATAATATTCCTCAAAATGTTCATTGACTTCGATGAGACTACACCCGCAAACTGAGGAATTTTTCTCCTTCCTTAGTTTATTATCTTCTTCACTATCATCCTTCAGAGCCATTAATTCTTATTCATTTGGTTAAGCTACGTCACCCCAGCCATACACGTGATCTTCTTCGCCCCAAATTTGTTCTTTTTTCTGCTTCTTTGTCTAAGGCTGAAAACTTTTGAGGAAAGTTCGCTAGTAATTGGTTCTCCCCTGAAGACACTTGTCAATAAGGATGATGTATGGTCTCTCTTCAGCTTCCTCTGAATTGAGGGAGAAATCTATGGTTCTAATGTTGGAGG